GTCCTGCTTGGCAAAAAAATTAACTGAGATTTATGAATGATCCTATACGAATTGTGCTTTGTGTTACAGAACTCTCTTGTAATTGAGCATGTCCTAAATTGTTGGGTTATGCCAGTAGGAATTCAAGGCATCCGTACACATGTATGCTCATTTAGTCTTCAATCTTCACTCTTGAAATGGCTTTTCGTTAGGTACGTTATAACATAGTGAAGTATGGGGCCGCTACCACTCACATCGGCCAGGGATCAAATCTTGGATTGAATCACATCCAAACCGATGAACTTTCGATTCCCTTTTAATGTTACAAGCTTCGTCTGGAAAAATAAAGAGTAACTTGTGATCTTATTGTAATCATCCTATTTGTGACTACACTTCAGTTAACATTTTATTTGCCATCGCTAGCCCCGCAAGTCAATGCATAAGCCAAATAGACACTTGAATGTCGTGTGCGTGGCGCATCCCAGCAATGGCTTGATTGACACAGAACTCCTTTGCCTTTACCTATAAGTATATAATAACCTCAAACACTTTTTAAGCCTGAGCACATTCGCAAGGCTAATTCCTGAAATTTGCTCCCAAAAATGCTTCCAAGAAAATTGTAGTGGAATTAGCAGGAATTCTAACGTTTAAGGCACGAAAACTCCTTGTGAGAACAGTGTTACCTGACTAACAGCACTCATTGAAAAACGAAAAACATATTGAAGCCCTGTGTCAAGGATATTTTAAAAGAATACGGCTATGACCAATTAATCATATCAAAGATACTGCTCTAAACTTTTGATATTATGGAGGTAGGGCTCGCAAATAAAAGTGGGCTCTGCAGCACCTAGGCACTCGAGAGCATCCCTGGGTCTCGTAGAAAACCAAATGAGCCTGACGCCTGAGCGCTTGGTCTCTCTCAAAGAAAAGAAGTTCCACTTCCAAGTACACCTCGAAATAAACTTTAAATAAGTCGCTGAATGAGGCCCGGTCTGAAATTCCCCAATAACCTTGCGTGCCGCTGTCGAGCGCTCCTGAAGGTTCCACGAGAAATCCTGCTGCAGGCAATCGCATCCAATTTCCTTGCAATTTTTACTTTTATTTACAATCAACATAGGCATGTGCAAAGTTCTATCTTGTTTCATTTGAATTGCGATTTCTGTGCATGGGGCACGCCAGTTATAACGCACCCTATGGTTTTCCTTATTTATTCTCAAGTTTGGGCTTAGGTGGAGCTGGATGTGGAACCGCTTACCGCTCGCGTGGTCCGAGGGTCAAACTGCACGCATTCAGTGTCACCAATTGTTCCATAGTTTTGTTTGGTAAATTCGTACCATATTCCTTCAGATAAGTATATAGAAATATGTGTGGATCACCTTACCCCTTACATTGTATTGTAAATACATAGTACAACTTATTTGTGATTTTCATGCTTCGTTAAGAATTGGGGTTACTGCTTTCTCAACATTCTGTTCTGTTTTGCAAGGTTCTCCAAGCATTCAGGCTGCATTTGAACTCGCAATGCCTTTTGAATGCGTGTATCTCCTCTACAATGACATGAGATCCAACCAAATTTACACGCGCTGCACACCTTTTGA